AATTACTAGGGCCAAATAACTAAAACAAGCTTGAAAAGGAAGAGTCAAGTTGGAAGACTCACATTCTCTCACTTGAAAATTTGCTGCAATGTTACAGTAATTAAAATAGAATCGTGCTGGTTTAAGGACAGATATATAGACTGATGGAATAGAACAAAAGCCCAACAATAAACCCTTACATATATGATTTTCAGCAAGGGTGTAATAACCATTTGATGGGGAAGGACAGTCTTAACAAATGATGCTAATAAAACTGAATATCCACATATAAAAGATACAAAAAAAAGAAAGGATTTACCTTACATCATATACAAAAGTTGACTCAAATGGATCAAATATGTATGCTTAGAAGCTAAAACTATAAAACTCAGAAGAAAACTTAGCTGTAAACATTCATGACATTGGATTTGACAGTGATTTCCTTGAAATGATATCCAAAGCACAGGTACCAGAGCAAATAAAATAGATGAACTGACTTCATCAAAATTAAGAACATTTGCACATCAAAGGACACTATTAAGAAAGCTAATAAAACAACTTACAAAATATTTGCAAATCATATATCTGATAAGACATTAATATCCATGATATATAACAAACTGAAACTCAACAATAACAAAAAAACTCAATTAAAAAATGGGAAAAGTAGTTAAATAGTTCACAAAAGGAGATATACAAATGACCAAGCACATGAAAAAATGCTGAACATCATAAATAATTAGAAAAATATAAATCAAAACCACAATGAGACAATACTTTGTACCTACTAAGATTATTATAATAAAAAATTTTAATGGAAAATAATAAGTATTTTCAAGGATGTGGAGAAATTGGAAACTTCTTACACTGCTGGTGAGAATATAAAGTGGTATAGCTGCTATGGAAAACAGTTTGGAGGTTTCTCAAAAAGTTAAACTCAGAACTATCTTGAGTTGACCCATCAGTTCAAACTCTTCACAAGTATATATCCAAAATAATTCAAAGTGAAAACTCAAACATATATTTGTATAACAATTATTCATAATAGCCAAAAGGTAGAAACAAACTAGGTGTCTATCAACAGAATACAGTCTATACATACAACAGAATGCTAATCACCCATAAAAAGTAACTGCATTTTGATATGTGTTACAATATGGATAGACCTTGAAATGTAACGCTTACTGAAAACCAGACACAGAAGAATAAATGCTGCATGATTCAATTTACTTGAAGCATCCGGAATAGAAAATTTCATAGAGAATAGATAACAGAGGTTACCAGAGGCTGGGGGTAAGGGGACAGGGCGAGTTATCATTTAAAGGATACAGAGTTTTTATGTCTTAATGCCACTGAGTTGTATACTTACAGATAGTTTAAAATAATGAATATTATGTTACATATATTTTACTGCAATAAAAAGAAGCATTAGGTATACTTGCAAAATGACCTTCAACAGGTGGATGTTAAGACTCTGTCTAACGTTAACTCAACTTTCTAATGACATTTCTAATGGATAAGGATGTAGTTTAATGGGCTAGTTAAATCTGCTCAGTTTCATGGTCAGAATTTACTCCCAATTCCAGTGCTTTATAATTTTCAAAGAACTTTTATACATTTTACTAAATTTAATTTTCACAGTCATTCTGAGTAGTGAACAAATCACGATACTGTTTTTAGATGACAAAAAAGTGAGGTTCAGCAGGGTTAAATAATATGTTTAAATAAGAATGAAATAAAATAATCCATGTAAAATATTTAGCATAGTATCTGGCACAGTAATCATTCAGTAAGCTTTAATATTTTCATACGATAGCTAGTAAGTAAATAGAGGAACCATGAGAGGTGACATCCTACTCCTAAGCTCTCCTAGGAACTTCAAGATTGCGGCCCAGTAGTAATCATTTCAAAAATCCCAACTCCATAAAGCAATGGTCAGTTGCATCACCCCTGGAGCATGAAGGAGGTCTTTCACTGTTCTTATTTTTCAGGCAAGCTGATCTGGATCTAATATACACATTGGCTACTGTGCAAGAGGCTTTATCTTTTAATTGTCTCAAACATCAGTGCTCAAATGTATTCATCTTACTCTCGATCAGTGCATCTCTCAGTATCATGATTTGAAAGAATGAAGCAACCAAAAGTCTGTGGTTTATGTTCTGGGCCCTGATAATGAGTTCCCATCTAGAAAAATGTCTCTAATTATAGAACCACTAAAATCATTTTAGAAATGAGGGATTAAAACTCAGTAAAGCAATTTCTAGCAAGATCAATCTGAAAGAGGCAGCCCTGGAGCTGTACAGTCCCTGTGAGCAACCCACTGCGGTTGGGAGAGCTTGCGTGGTGTTTACCACGCACAGGAACCTGGAAATGACCAGAGCTTTGGGTCAAATCACTTGGAGGGGAGTGAAGTCCTATACCCCTAAATGTATCTGTTTACACTGTCCTAACATGGGTTCCGAAACAGCCAACTTTAACTAACAGTGAACACCACCCCAAGGTGGTCCTTGCTCTCTGGAAATCAAGATAATTATTCAGTCTGCTGGAGGCACAAACACTATGTAATTATTTCAGGTTACAAGAAAGTGGAAAGGGAGAAAGAGAATTTTTTTAAAAATTATTTCTAAAAACACAGAAGCGCTAGTTCATCCTCCTGCTTAGGGAACCAAAACAAATTTTTGCCACCACTTCAAGTCTTTTATACAAAGCTACCCTCTTCTAAAAAATTTAGTCATTGTCTCACATACATTTCAAGTGAAATTACCAAAGCTCAGCTTGGGGCAAAAATATTTTGCTTATCCAGTCCCCAGTCCAACAGTAGACTCCTTCCCTAATGCATGTGAATAACAAAAATCTGCATAGATAAGTCTTCAGGGTATGTAATTTCTCTACTGGTAGTATAAGAACATACTAGTTTAACCCACCTAAAACACAACTTTTACATACAATAGAGCCTAAATTAGTCAAAATATTAAAGGATTTAGAGTTCTGATTATTTAATTCTCTGACGTAAGTCATCAGAAAACAAATACCTTTTTCCAGCTTTGCTTGGGATTAAAACTCTTCCTACATCTCCAAACTCTTTGTCCTGCCTTTTAACCAGCAGGGTTTAGGCAACATAATCAAATATAGCTTTGCGATCCCAGGTCACGACTCCAAGCTGCACTTTATTCAATGGAAGTTAACTAACTCTTGCACAATATTGTCAAAGTCTCTACATCCTTCTCAGTTATGGGTCACAACCTCATTGATACTGTACAAGAAGGCATTTCTTTTTTAAAAGATCTAAATTTATTGAGTACATAGCAAGATCTTCCCCCCACCCCGCCCGTCAATGACAGTGTTGTTGTGACGCAGTTAGGTAAGTATCATAGTTACAAGATGGTTACATCTAACAAAAAATAAGACCCATACTTGATTTTGAAAGGTGGAGAATTTTAACTTTAAAAACACTGAAATCAAATAGTTTCCACATATAGTTCATTTAAAATGTTTCTAGGACTAGTACAGGGGTGGTGACTCAAATTCAGGACAGAACAGTAAATTTAGTTTACATCAATGTTCCAAAGGAAGTTGAGGTAAAGATATGGTTTGGAATGACTTACAGAGATCACAGAAGGACTGATCCACTGCGCTGACAAAAATATATTCTCTGAAAAAAAGTACTCCTGTCCTTAATTCAGATGCCAATTTCATAGTAAGTAAATATAATTCGCTCTTAAACTTATGCTCTAAATTTTTAACAATTTGAATTACATATTTTTCTTTTGCTCAGGTATCCAAAAACCTTTGGTAACATTAGTTTGACTCATTTAAATGTGAAGAATTTAGTCAATCTCCTAACATTTCTATTTCTTGAACCATTTGAGTTTTGTGACAGATATCCTACCTTTTCTCACAAGTGAGGAAGTCCGCTACCAAATGCGCAAAAGTATTCACTGGCCACAAGCAGTTAAAAATGATGTTTTTTTTTTTTTTTTTTTTAAAAACTAGGTTTGTTTTTACACTACTTAGTGAGCTTCCTTATCCAGAATGTTAATAAAATGATTTATATTTTATTTTTGCTTTAAGCATATTAAAATGCCTTTTTCACTTTCTAAACCACATACACAAAGAAACTGCTGCACTCAGATTGTTGTACTCAGATTTGATGGTTAATATAATCAGGTTAATATGTTAAAAAGAACTTGACACAGAAATTATTAATGAGTAGAACAAGGTCACTACTTCTGAGCTGAGGTCACTTACAAAGAATGCACAAATGAAATTAAGGTTGACTTTTATTTACTTGACTATCTTCTTACATTGGATTCCTTGGGCAACATATCTTTAAACATTTAAAACCCTGTTTACAAGGAGGCTCTGAAAGAATCTTCAAACCATTATGCCCCTAATTGAATTCCCCAGGAGTCCAGTAAACTCAGAGGAATAAAGAAAAATCATAACATTTGCTAAATCATCTCAAAACATATTTCACTGCAAGGTTACATGACCTGTTTTTTGAGGTTCAAAGATGAATAAAAAATTACTGAATGCTTCATTATTTAGACTAAAATCAAAAAGTTTTACCTATTAGTGGTAAGCTAATTAAATCAGCCCAGGGTTAACCTTCCTCGAAGAGAAATCTGACAACAAACAATAACATTTTACACTGCATGTGATCCCTTCCCGGAGTATAAAAGTTCTCCGGAGGAGGAAAGGATCTTTAACCAAAAAACAATTATTCACAGTAAAGGTATGAGAGAGAGAGCTGACAAAAATGTGGTAGTCCCCAGGGAAAGCATTATTTTATCTGTGAATTCAGAACAAACTCAAGCAGAAGGAGGGAAAGCAAAAGTTTTTTAGCAACCAATTAAGTTTATTACCATGCCTGCTCTTCCCACTTCGAATTTTACTTTAAAGTGAGCTTTTATGATCTTTTTACTCATAGTTCCCTTGTATGCTCCTGTGTGTTGTGAGTACTAAGCAAAAACATGTGGTTCTGAGCATTTCCAAAGAACGTCGAATCCCTCTCCACTTACCTGGCTTGTATGTTATTCCAGGGGGGAAGAGGAATCCCTGTTGGGCAGCCGCAGCTGCTGCCAGGGTCCGCTGGTCATGTGGAAAAATTGGGATCATGAGCGGAGGCATGTGACCCTGAACCTGCTAAACAGAAGAGAGCCTATGATCAGACAGGGAGCAAATGTATGCCAAGAAGAATTTGTTTTTCACCTCTGGTGGTGTGCTGGTACCCACACAGCCACCCACCTCTAACCTCATTCCAAACCTGCAATCTGAGAAAATTCAGTCACAATCCGCCAAATCCCTTTCTTAGATGCCATTAGCATACCAAAGACATAACTTCATTGTGAATTTGCCTCATCCCTGCTTCCACCAAACTGCAGTCAACGATTTTTTTTTCGTGTGACTTTTCCTCTTTTATTTTTTTTCTTTTAAACAAAAAACTAGAAGAAATAAGTTTGGTTCTAGTCCTACACTGTGTGATGTTGAGAGGTTTTGCCCTTTCACCTGTTTTGCATTCCGTGCTTCATTCTGAATATAGCATTTAGTATCCGTGGTCAGAAAATAATGTCTAATTGTTATATACTCTAAAAGCTGTATCTCCCCAGTTTAGGTATCTTATTTCAAAGCCTCACGGCATTATGTTAAACATATAGCTCTTCAGATTTAAGGCTACTACATCTTGGCTCCCAATTAAACTAATATTCTTTGCCATACACACCTCGATGAAACATATAAATTGCTTGTCTGGCTAAGCAGTTTTACAGCTTTATGCGCTACCATGTAGCTCAGTAATTATGGAGTTGTATTCAGAGAGCATTTCAAAATAAATCCTACTTTATCAAATTTCATTTGACCTCAATAAATGTATCAAAGAGCACAAAAATGCAAAATATAAAAATCTTTACTCTATATCAGTATTTGGATTCCATATAAAGAAAATAAAAGCTATGACAGAATCATGCTTGTGAAAATTACATTTTAATTCCTAGCTCCCCTGTTTGCTCTATGCATGCTGCCCTGATTCTAGGATAGCATGACAGGAATGTTTTGTCCTGGCTTTTAGGGCACAATTTTATAGACTGAATGCAGGACTTTTCTTATTTAACGATCAAAACTGTGGTGCATCAACAGAAATGATCTTTAAGTTCAAACAGGGAGTTTAGCCTTTTCTCTAATATAAAGGGGTTACATTATATCCTATTTAAGATACAAACTTTTACCAGTGTTTCCACCAATCCCAAACCCTTCCCCTGTTTAAATTCCTAAATCTTCTATTTAGGCAAAATTCCATATGCTAGCTGATGATCTTTTTTAAATAGCACCAACTTGCCATATCCTGTCCCTATTCCCTCCACAACCAGAGACACAGTGCAAAAATGCTTTTGTGTGGGTCTAAGGGGTTTCATTTACCAACAGTTTTTCTCTAGGGAAAGACCTAAGATGTGGGTTAATAAAGGGCAAGCAAAAAATAAACACTTTACAGTATTTTTCTGAATTCATTTCTCAGGAAAATCAACTTATAATAAAAAGGTCTTTGTGCAATTACTACCTTGCCAGTGGGGCGTGAAAGAAACTAGCTTTGAGCAGCTATTTCTGCCATTTTAGCTGAGGTAAGCCCAAGTTTTGTACATTAGAGTACAAGCTTAGCCTGCTTAAATTGGAGCTGATCCCCTAGTGCCCAGGTCTTGCCTTTAACCCTGAAGAAAAGCACTGGGTTTGCTGCTCAAGTCCAGCTTGTTGTGACCTGAAACAAACTTGAAATGGCAGAGATGAGGCACTGTTCTAAACCAGAAAATGAAACACCTTATTTTGGGGTGGGTGACAATTGTTCAGTGCAAAAGTGCATCAAAGGAAATCATTTCATTTTCCTCTAGTAATATGGCCCCAGCAAGTACCTAGAATACAGCACAGATGGCTCACGCTCTAAAGAAGGGGAACAAGAAAGTGAGAAGTCTGGCCATCATATTTCTTTATTCTTTCACTTCACGTTTACTATACTGCTATTATCTGTCAGGGATCTTGAGAAGTAGCAGAAGAAAGTAGAATATTTAGCTTGGCAGAGAATAGATACAAGATTATCTCCAAATATTTATAAGATCGATGTGTAGAAGAAGGATCAGACTAAGACGGAGTAGCGACAGAGCATAGAATGAGGTTCAAAAGGAAGAAATTTTAGGGAAGTTGAATGTGAAGAAGAATTTTCTAGTAAGAAGTTATTCTGCAATCACTCTGATCAAAGAGATAGTGTATGTCCTTGCCCTAGAGGTGGTCAAGTAAAAGGTGGATACCACCATATGTTAGAGATGTTTTAAAGTAGACACACAACTCAAAAACTGATTGGATAATAAACTTTACAGTCTTTCTAACTTTATAATTCTATAGCTCTTTAAAGGTCAACAGTAAAAGGATTACCATTCCCTTATTCAGTCATTCATCACACATTTATTGAGAACTTACTATGTGCCCACAAAAGCTTTGCTGGAAAACAAATCAGAGCTAAGATCTATATATTCTTTTTTGGCGTCTGCTGTGTGATATTGAACAGTTACTTAACCTTTCTAAGTCTATTTCGTTATGTAAAAACTGAAGCTAATTATACTATCTTCCATGATTATTCTGAAGATTAAATAGACAATAAGAGTAAAGCTTGTGGCATAGTGCCTTCCATAACAGTAATGTATTGTCACAGTATATGTTAGATTCTTGTTGTTTTCTTGTATAGTTTGCATACTCAGGACTATAAAATTATCAAATTACTGATAAAATGAGAAAGAGCTGATCTTACCCAAAACACTACCTCAAGAAAGAAAGCATGAGCCAACCAAATAATTCAGTTTGACAGGCAGAGGCTTTGTCATGTTGAGCAGACAACATGCCTCACAGAGCACTATCCCATCCCAAGAACCTAGAAAAACATGAAAAAGAAGCGGTGGGATTACAAGGATCATTTGATGATATATTTTGGGCTCTTCTGTGTTATTAAACAGCAGCTTAGAATGAAAACAATTTATTTTTATATTGATTGCCCATGCTTTTCAGATTGTGAAACAATTAAGGAAGTCTTGAATCTCAGTGTCTGAAGTTACTTCTCTTATAACTGTCCATGTTCATGAGGTAACTAGCCAAACTATCTAGGGTCTTTTCTGATGCCAAAAGACTGTAGGTATTTCATATTGACATAAACTATAAGAATTTAGAAGAGTTCCTTTCGCCCGTCACACTCTAAACGAAAAGATATATCAGAAACATTCAAAGCTACAAGTCTAGAAGCTGTTCAGTAAGTTGAGAAACAAAGTAAATAAGGAGGAGGACAGAAGACTTTGTGAAGCAATAATAATGATAGAAACATAGAGTTGGAGTGGAGCTTAGAGATGCTCTAACCTAGAAGTCCTCCGTGTACCTGACCAGCAATATCAGAAATATCTGAGGACTTTTTACAAAAGCTAATGTTTGGACTCCACCCCATACCTTCTGAATCACAACCTCTGGGGTTGGGTCCAACAATCTAAATTTTAGACTAAAATATAACCTAGAACAGTGATTCTTAAACTTTAGTGTGCAATAGAATCATCCCAAAGGCTTGTTAAAACTCATTGCTTAGTCTCCCTGTCCCTTCAAAATCTTTGAACTAGTAGACCTGAGGTGGGAGCCTGAGAGTGCACATTTTTAACAAGTTCCCAAGTGGAGTTGCTGCTATTGGTCGAGGGACCAAGCCCTGAGAATCACTTATCTAATCCAAAGCTCATGATATACACATGGGATCAGGCGGCTAGAGAAGGTACAAGATGCAAGCCTAAAGTTACAGTGCCCATGAGAGCTGCTTATAGAGTCCAGAAATGCTGATCACCCTGCTCAGTGCTTTCTCCATTACATCAGATGATAGAAAAGAGAGAAATCACTTGGGCACACTCTCTGAGCAGAGAAAATCTGGAAGTCTTCAACTGAAAATAGTTTTGTGTTTCAGAGGCATATTGTTGGAGTTCGGATACTATGAATGTCGTTCAATTTTAAATAAGGTCCTTGCTACCTTTTTCTTCTTTATTTATTTATATTCTTTTAGAGACAAATTATCGCTGTCACCCAGGCTAGAGTGCAGTGGCATGATCATAGCTCACTGTAACCTCAAATTCCTGGGCTCAAGCGATTTTCCTACCTCAGCGCATTGAGTAACTAAGACTACAGATGTACGCCACCAGGTTCACCTAATTTTTCTTTTGCGGGGGAAGAGACAGATTCTAATCAAGTTGCCCAGGCTGATCTCAAACTCGTGGACTCAAGTGGTCCTCCCATCTTGCCTCCCAAAGTTCCAGGATTATAGGCCTGAGCCACCACACTCAGCCCCTTTCTCTTATTTGTATCCAGAACACACTTGATCTTAATATCTACCACCATTAATCCCAATAGTTTATTACAATACATTCATTTGCAATTATCATTTAGTTCCAAATGATAAAATTGCCCTTAATTTATTTTAAGTAAAACAATAATGTGAAAATTCAAAGTGCCCTTTATTAAAGAGAAGCCAGAATATCCAAAAGCTAGTCATACTCTAAGCTGAGAGGAGAAGAAGTTTTTCTTAGCTCTAACTATGGAAGCAATAATAGTACCGATGGTGATAATAATAATTACAGTAGCTAATATTTTTCAGTGTTTTCTATATGTCAAGCACTGGAAAAGTGATTTATATCCCCTTTTTTTTCCTTCTTTTTTAAAAAGATGTGAGGTACAATTCAGGATTAGGTATACAAATGTTCATTATGCAGATACCCTTGCTGATGAGATGTGCCCCTCCCTCCCCTGGCAGTTTCCCTCAACTGCCAATCCTGACCCCAACCCTCCTACTCCCGGCACATCCCTAATCCTCAAAACCCTGTAGGGTACTTACTGCTATTATCCTTAGTTATTCAATAAGAAAGTCAAAGCCATGAGAGGGTAAGTAACTTCATCAATTAAAAAGTGATAGAACTCAGTTCTTTGTGGTAGAGCCAGGATTCAAGTCCAGGTATGTTAGGGTCAAAGTTTGTGCTTTAAGGTACCATACTATATTAAGTAGGAAGCCATCTCTTGAAAAACAGATCTAACCAAGATAAGAAATATAATTCTTTGTGAAAACAATGATTTGACTGATAGTTTTATAA